CTGGGAGGTACTGGGGGGGTGGGGGGTATGGTTGGGGGTCCACTGCACCCAGTTATCAGGCTCATGGCTCCCAGTATGCCCAGTTACCTGCCCCAGGGCTCCCAGTGTAGCCAGTTTCCAATCCCAGTATGCCCAGTGCCCCTCCTCATGGCTCCCAGTATGCCCAGTTTCCTGCCCTAGGGCTCCCAGTATGACCAGGTCCCAATCCCAGTATTCCCAGTTCCTTCCCCAGGGCTCCCAGTATGCCCAGTTGCCTGTCCCAGGGCTCCCAGTATATCAGTTCCAAATCCCAGTATGCCCAGTTCCCTGGCTCAGGGCTCCCAGTATGCCCAGTTCCCAATCCCAGTATGCCCTCATTGGTTTGGGGAGGGCTTACTGGGTAAACTGGGAGGAACTGGGGGAACTGGGGGGTATGGTTGGGGGTCCACTGCACCCAGTTATCAGGCTCGTGGTTCCCAGTATGCCCAGTTTCCTGCCCTAGGTCTCCCAGTATGGCCAGTTTCCAATCCCCATATGCCCAGTGCCCCTCCTCACGGCTCCCAGTATGCCCAGTTGCCTGGTCCAGGGCTCCCAGTATGCCCAGTTCCTTGCCCCAGGGCTCCCACTATAGCCATTTCCCAATCCCAGTATGCCCAGTTCCCCTCCTCATGGCTCCCAGTATGCCCAGTTCCCTTACCAGGTTTCCCAGTATGCCCAATTCCTTGCCTCGGGACTCCCAGGATGCCCAGTTCCCCTCCTGATGGCTCCCAGTATGCTCAGTTACCAATCCCAGTATGCCCAGTTCCCTGCCCTAGGGCTCCCGCTATGTCCAGGTCCCAATCCCAGTTTACCCAGTATGCCCAGTTCCCTGGCTCAGGGCTCCCAGTATGCCCAGTTCCTTTCCCTAAGGCTCCCAGTATGCCCAGTTCCCTTACCAGGGTTCCCAGGATGGCAGGTTCCCAGTCCCAGTTTGCCCAGTTCCCTGCCCCAGGGCTCCCAGTATACCCAGTTCCCCCTGTGCCAGGGCTCCCAGTATGCCCAGTAGCAGCTCCCCGCTGCCTCCCAGTTGCGCCCAGTCGACCCAGTCTCCCCTGACCCAGTGTCTCCCAGTGCTCCCAGTCTGCTCCAGTGCTCTCCCAGTATGTCCAGTGCTTCCAAGTGAAGCCCCATCGTCTCACCCCAGTGCCCCCAGTTTATCCCAGTTTGCCCCAGTCTCCCAGTTCCCCCCCCCAGTATGTCCTGATGTCCTTCCCAGTTTATCCCAGTCGCCTCCAGTAAGCTCCTGTGCCCAGCCCACTATGCCCCAGTGTCCCCAGTCTGTCCCAGTGCCCCCTGCTCAGCCCCAGTACACCCGCACCGCCAGGGGCC